CCCTTCTGTTCAAGCTAATGCTGTGTCTTTGCATTTGATTCTTCAGCGAATATGGGAAAAACCAGTACTAGACCGTGTAGGCCTTATAATTGAAATATTTAATGCCCATGCTCATACAAAGGAAGCAAAACTACAGGTACTGTGACAATAATGATCCGTCTTTTTACATACTAGGAACGCTTATATAATAGCTGTTTGGTTCATCCATTCACAGGCTGAGTTAGCAGCTTTGATGTACAAACGAAGCAGGCTGGTTCGAGTGCGTGGTAGTGATGGGCGTCAGACTTTTGGGCAGTTTGGAGAAGCTGAAGTTGTTAGTGCCCGAGGGTGAATATCCTCAACTTGCTATTTTGTGTATTTCCATTTACCTAATTGATTGTTGATACTGAAAATGTTATCAAATCATTTTGCAGGAGAGCAGCAAGTAAGGGAGCTGGTTTCGTAGGTGGTGCAGGAGAAACTGAGCTTCAGCTTCAACGCAGAAGGTTAACCAAAATTATATTACATTTATATTTTCCATGTCTTATCGTTGGTTAACAGAAAGACTTAGGACACGGCTCTTTTTTAATCTATGGTCTTAACAAAATCTTGATCTACCAGAATATCAGACCGGAAGCTTCGCTTGTTATCCCAAATTAAAGAAGCCCGGCGAACACGCCTATCGCATCGTGCTGCACGTAAGAGACGAGGTGGTTTAGAGGGTCAGAGTTTAGCTACCATTGCTGTTGTTGGCTACACAAATGCTGTAAGTTTTGACGTTTGCTTCCAAGGAATCTCAGTCAGAGAGCAACTGTTTTTACTCTACTCTCTGGTTATTTTTGTTTGCTTTTGTTAGGGAAAATCGACTTTGACAAGTGCATTAACAAAGACTGCTCTCTACTGCAATGAACGGTATGATTCAACTGCTTTCAAAACTATTCTTAAACTGTCAAATTTGAAACTGAACTCTTACCTTTTGGATGCTTGGTCTGTGTCTGTCCTCCGTAGATTGTTTGCCACATTAGATCCTACGCTCAAGAGTGCCATCCTTCCTTCTGGGTAAGTTGATTGTTGCGCGTCAAGAATCATGTTTATAGCTTTACGGTACACATGAACTATTATTGAATCCTATGAGTTGTTTTTGTTCAGAAGGAAAGTGCTTCTTAGTGACACTGTTGGATTCATATCAGATCTGCCTATACAGGTAATAGATGCCTACTTTAATTTTCATCTTTCTTTTTTAAGTATGTTTTCACTTACTTTCCTTTTCTTGGCTTGTGGCTTTTTGCAGCTGGTGGAAGCATTTCAATCAACTCTAGAAGAAGTTGTTGAAGCCGATCTACTTCTGGTAAGACTTGATTCAAAAGACTCTTAATCTTTAGTTACATATAGAATTGAAGTTTGTGGAAAGATCTTGGCCTTGATGTGATTTGTTCCTTGCAGCATGTAGTTGATTCGACGGCTCCAAATATTGAGGAGCATCGTTCAACAGTGTTTCATGTCCTTAATCAAATTGGAGTACCAGAAGAGAAGCTTCAAAATATGATTGAAGTCTGGAATAAAGTAAGATTTTTCGGAAACCATATATCTTAAGTAGAAGAAGCAACCACCTTTTATTCACACTGAGAATTTGTTTTAGATTGATTAT